GTAATAATATTTGTAATGTAAGTTAAAATAGATTATTTAATTGTTAGAGAGTTATTAATTAAGTTTTGAGTTTTTCTTGGTTCTTGGATGTATATACTGTATATATATTGATATATTTCGGTATATTCACTACTTGTTAGCAAGATTATGTAGAAGAAATCCTTTATAATGCATGGATAATTAAAAAAAATGACTTATAAATTAATTATTTAATTATTAGAAACTATATTTATAAATTTTCTTAGCTTTGTATGGGTAGACATTACTTCTTAGGACAAAAAAGAACAATCTTTATAATGTGCAGATAATTATTAAAAAATTACTTTTCTAATAATTACATAATTATTGTTAAATTTTATTGTTTATTTAACTCGATGATTAAAATAATACATAAAAAAATTATGTATAATTTCCAAATGTATAGAATTAAAAACAATATACCGTCCTGTAACTGGAGTAATCCATATTACGCTAATAAATGATTTGATAATTATATAATTCATTTTAATTATATTAATTAATTTTTAAGGCTTTTCGGTTCTATACAAACAGACAAACAGACAGATAGGAGGAAATATTTATTACTTGTTAGCGAGACTATTAAGAGGAGAAACCTTTGTGATGCAAGGATAATTGTAATAAACTACTTTAAAATGGATTATTTAATAACCAGAAATTATGTTAATTATTAGAGACCACTAATTGTGGAGTTTATGGATGGATAGACAAACAGACGAGCTGAAAAAAGAAGGAAAGAAAAGCATTATTATTTAGTTTTTGTTGAGATGAAAAATTCGCATCAGAAGATAATTCGTGTATATGTTTACTGATTAGTGTAAATTATCGAAATGATTAATTAAGTTAAACGAAATGAGTTAACTTGTTTCATTTTATAGATGTTTTCATAATTAAATTTGCTTATTGAAAAAAAAATATATAAACATATTACTAAATTATTTTAGTCAGAAAATCTCTCAGAAGTGTGTTACTTGAATCTATTCTTTTATGAAAATAAAGAATTAAAACTGTTTTAATTATACAAAAATAAAGTAGTGTAGAGTAATTATTGAAATTTGTAATAAATTATTAATTATTTATTAGAATATTTTAAAAAGTAATAATTCAAGTAAATTAAATAGTAAAGGTATAAAGGAGCAAAAAGAATAAAAAATAAAATAAAAATCAAGAAGAGCTAAAATAAATTGCGTGCAATTAATGGCAATTTCTCGACTACGGACAGACAAATGAAACGATTGTATAAGTTTATTTATTTATTTTTTATTCAGAAAAACAATGCAAAAATACCATAAAATGTCTTTTTAAGTGATTTATTAAGTAATAAATATTTTATGATTTAACTACGAGATGTTTTCTTAAAACTTATTTTTTAAAATAAAAATTATCGGTTTTTTATTTTTTAAACTTTTTTTATTTAATTTTTTAAATTTTTAACAGAGTAAATCGTAAGAGATATTTTATTCGAAAATTATTACCGTATGAAAATATCTTTTTTAAACATATAATTATATATTTATAAATTATTTCTGAACTTTTTCAGGTAACATAAATAAATTTAATTAGAAATTAAAATATTCGTTAAATATTTAAACGTACAAAATATATTTTTATAGTTTGAAATGAATAAAATGATTAAAACATTAAAAAATAACTTCTTATGTTGATATTTATTATTTATTTTTAAAATATTATTAATTCTCTGAATTTACTTATTCTTAACAATAAAAAGTTTTAAAAAATTTTTAAATAAATTCTTTTTATAAATTTTAATGATATTTTTCTAAGTAATTTCTGGATGAAAGTACACGCAATTTTAATAGAAGAATTCTTAAAAATTTCATTTAAAATTATTTATATCATAAAAATAAATACAAATAATTAAAAATTTAGGAACTATTTCATTTTTATAAAATATTTAAGCATAATTAATACAAATATTTAACATTTTTACATAGATTTAATAAGGTTACATACATTACTTTTATTGCTAGTATTTAAAATATAGAAACTAGTATACACTTAACAACACTTAACGAAATTTAAGAAAAGGGAAAGAAAGAGAGTGGAGGAGGAAAAAAAAACATCTTTTCAGGGTTGAAAGCTCTTAAATCGATTCCCAGTTAGGTCCAATGGCTTTTTTGTCCCCTTCTAGAATAGCTATAAAGGCCTCCTCAGCCTCCTATCGAATGTATACCTGATCTTTTCTGAGATAGAAGCAGCTGGCACAGATCTCGACATCATGTGGTACTGTTAGCAGTAAAGTGGTCAACCAGTTCAGATTGAAAAGGGCCTTAAATAAGTTAGGAATAAAAAATATGGTGACTAGTTTTACACGTTGTGAAGTTTTATTCTATCTATTCCTATATCACATATACTGCATAAAGTTGTTTTTAGGATAGTAGTGATTTTATATATATATATATATATATATATAGAAAAAATAAGATGATTTCTCTCTCATGTTCATATTCTATAGATTATATATTAACCCTTAGAATAGGAACACATTCTATGGGTTAATATATAACCCATAGAATATGAAAACGAGAATGAGCTTCCTTGTTCCTTTTATCTAAATTAGACAGACGCTACGTTTGTATGCGCTTTCCACCTTTATAAACATATTTCACCATTTCGGGGGGTATGACCAGACTTTTGACTGTTCGTCTCTTCGGGATTCTTCGCTTCCGGGGGATCTCGACGCCGCCTTCGTCCGGGCCCTTGGCACTTTCGTCTTTCGTAGTCGCTCCTTCGAGTTGGCTATGCTGCAGGCACAGTCTGCGTCCACGGTGCTTTCGAAATTGCTCGTGGGATTTGTTCGCCCAGGCCCGCCGTAAGCGGGCGTGCAAGGCGTGCACCGCACGCGGGCGGCACGTCCAGGGGGCGGCAAAGAGCCTTTCTGGCAAGCTCAGCGTAGGTAGTCGTAGTTAAACAGGGGGCGGCATAATCGGTATTGCACACGGGCGTTCAAACAGCTGGCGGTGCCCCTGTCTCCGCAGATATAACAAACAGAGAAATAAATAACACAAAATAAATTGTAGCTATGCATTGATTCCGCGCGACACGTCCGAGCATTTAAGCCGAACAATGGTGTGAAGAAAGTGAGTGATCAAGAGCTGCGTGGCGCTCAAACAAAAGACGAATCGACGAGATTTGAAAATCGCGTAAGTACTGTACTGTATTACTGTATTTGAAAAAAAATGTTTTTTTTTGTATATATTTCTTTATTTATATATTTGTTGTTTATTTTTATTTGAAAGGAATGTTGTTTTATTATTTATATGTTGTTTATTTATAATATTTAAAAAATTTGTCATTTATTTGTTTATTGTACAAGTCGACCCCCCCTATAACACTGTTGATTATTCTGTTTTATATAAATTCCATGTTGTACAAGTCTCTTAGATTTTACAAATACATGAGCCATTTACAGCCTGACACACGTATTTGTAAAATCTAAGTGACTCATACAACATGGAATTCATATAAAACAGAATAATCAACAGTGTTATAGGGGAGTTGACTGTAAATATTTTAACTCCTTTAACCTATTCAATGTTGAAATTTTTATTTGTTGCCTGTGACACTATGTTGAATTTTCATCGATGTTAAGCCTAAAAAAATCTTTTTTTTAAATAATAATTGTGTTTACTGTNGTAGTAGAAATTTAATGCTATCAAATTTTTAATTATAGCAATTATTAAAGTAATTGAATTGAACTGAATAATTAAATACTGAGACCTGCAATTTGGATGTTTCTTCTTGTTTAAGTAACCCCTCGTAACATTTTTCTATATTTTTTAATTTTTCCAACAAATCCTTCTGTTGAACACATTTATTCTTCAAAAGTATGATTGCCTGTAATTTTTTTTATCATTATTAACAAATTATTCTCACAAATTAATAACTTTTTCGTCAGGAAGCAAAATCTAATTATAATGAGGAATTTATTATTATGTAGAAAATAGAATTTAAAATTTTTTCTACAAATTCTAATATACGATTTAACATGATCAGTTTAATAATCAGTTTATCAAATATAAGCTGTTCTTATTTAATGTGCTTATTTATTGGTGCTCATTATTATTAATATTATTATTATTATTATCATCATCATCATCATTATTAAATAACTCATATTTAAATTATATTATTGTAAAGTATTTAAAATGAAATAATGCAATTAATTTAAATTGAATCAAATTTAGTTTTAAAAGTTAAATTAAAAATTTCTTAAATGATTAAAGAGTTTTGTATTAAATTCATTTTTAAATTATTATTATTATTTATAAAAGATGATTTTCTTATCATTCTTCCAAGAAACATTTTCTCTAACATTAGATAATATTATTGTGATTGGTCAATTAAGTACATATTACCCTTGAAGGAGCAGGTATTGTATTGAACAATCAATGACGTTGAATAAAATGGCAGCAACGATTTCTAAGTTATAAGAAGGATTAAGAAAATATACTTACAAGGAGAAAGAATTATGTAAAAATAAGAAAAGATTTCAATAATATAAATTGAATTACATTAAACATTCAGCTTTACTTTGATGAGTGGATTAAAGGCATTCCAGCAATCTGTACCTGTAATCACCCATATTAATTTATATAATATCATTTTTCTCTTATTAGGAATGGGCGGTTGGCGATTGAATTATTTATATAAAAAGAGAAGAAAAATGTAGTAAATTTATATATATATGTATATATTTAATTTACATAATTTAATTTTATTAATACGCAATTTACTATTAATGCAAACATAGTTAATAACGTATAATAATGAGGTTAATTAGTTTCCATTCATCGAAACACCATTCGATAAATTGCTATAAAATGTTCTGATTGCTTATATTATGGAATATTTTAAGAAAAATATATATGTAAAAGAAAATAACAGTTAAAAAAATGATAGAATAATAACATTTCTACGTAACGATAATATTAAAATTAATTCTACTAGGCGTTACTTACTTGACACGCGAGTTACGATAACAGCTATTGCTATCAATATTATCATTTCTTGATATCGAATTCTTTCCATCCTAAGACACGTGCACTTGTGTTAAGGTTTTGTGTCACTTCATCATAACTATCCACATCACTGCTTGATAGTAGAGCATGGTATGGAAGTCCTGTTTCACTGCACCCTCTAAACTAGCGAGCGCAGTCCATTGGTGCGTTGGGTGGAGACGTCAAGCGGTCGATAAGACATTGCAAAATCTTATCTTATACTGTAATCTTCCTGTTTCTAGTACAGAAAAAAATAAAAAATAATAAAAAAGTATTTAATTTAAAAAATATATATTATATAAGTTATTAAAATTCAAATTTCCCAATAAAGAAATATATTTAGATGCTATACAAATATGTGTATGTTGTATTGTCTTCAACACTAATTTCTAACAGCAAAGTGAAGATTAGTTTTGGAATTAATTTGAATTGTTAATTTTCTATTTTAGTAAATTAATTTTATTTATTTTTAAAACGGTTTAAATTTATTATAAAAGTAAATAATGTTTAATCATTGATGAATTTTATATCATAGTTTACTCAACTTACAAACAAACATAGGAAGTTTTCTCAATTAGTCAAGCAGAGACAGGAAGGATGAATGATGACGTTGCGTGGCATGAATTAGATATAATGAACAATTCATTACAGACAAGAATATTATAATACAATATCTTAACTAAGACTTCAATACTTTCAAAGTAAAAATGTTTAATTATTTATTAGTGAAAATGATAAAGCAAACTGTAATTTGTGTTTAACAATACAATAAAAAAAAATAATAATCAAAAAGCATAAAATTAAAATTAAAGCAAACAGAAAATATAATTAAAGAATTGAAAAAGTAAAATATTTTAAGTGGAATAATTAACAAAAATTAAAGTTTACTTAAATGCTTGGCTAAATATATTTTTTATAAATTTTTTTAGTAAAAATTATACAAAATTCCTTGTAAAAATTGTCTTTATTTTACTGAAAAATATTTTAAATTATCAATAAAAATATAAATATCACAAAAAAACTGTTTTAAAATATTTTAATTAAATAAAATAATTATATTTTTATATATTAAAATAACGATAATTTTTTTAAATATTACAGAATTAAAAATAAATTATTACAATATATTTTTAAAAAATTTTTATCTTTAAAACAAATTAATGGTCTTATGAAAAGTCATTTGGTCAGCTGGTAACTGTTAAGCATTTTGTGTAATTAGATTGTAAAATTTGATATTTAAGTAAGTCATTAGTAAATTATCCGCTTACTCCTGTGAATCAGTATTAAATGATCAGCAACGTTAATTTGTTAAAATAGAGCTTTCGAGAGATTACAGTTTAGCATGATAAATAATGCACAACTCTGACCATTTTCTAGTAAAACGGATGTACATTATAGCATATAGATTGAAACATATAACAAAATGAATTAAAAGAAATTAAGAAAAACTAAGAAAAAATATCACTATTTTTTACATATCTATGCATTGAATTCGGCTCATTAACCAGTTTCTAAATGATGATCATTTACTAAATTACTAATTTGCATTTTACAACTGTGTAAAATTCAGTGTAAAAGTTTTTCCTTCAATCATAAATGAATAAACATAAAATTTAAAAAAAAATGTAACAAGAAAAAAATTGTTTTTACATATTTATATAATTGAGTGCTGTTCATTAATAAGTTTTAAATGATGATCATTTACTAAATTACTTATTTCCATTTTATAACTGTATAAGATTCGGTGTAAAAGTTTTGCATTCAATCATTAGAAAAAAAATTATAGGAAAAAATTATTTTTATATATTTATATAATCGAGTGCTATTCATTAGCATGTTTATAAATGATCATTTAAAAATTACTTATTGGTATTTAAAAAATTATTAATTTACTAATTTGCATTTTACAAGTATAGTACTGTATATAAAATTCAGTGGAAAGTTTTGCTTTATACATAGCTTTAGCTTATTTTACTGTTAAATTACATACAAATAATAAAATAATATATATACATAAGTCTTTCAATCATATTTTTCTTTGAAATGAGATTTTAAACTTTCATGCAATTTAAAATATGGTTATAAGAATCTAACCTTATTCTATACTCAAGAGATATTTTAATGAATTTGTCGATAGATTAAATTTTAACTTCACTCTAATGGAAGCCACTTAAGATAATTATCGATAATATTAGATTCTGATTGCTTTTTTTTAAAATTCTTTTTACAAATAAATATGATAACTAAGAATAAAACCATAAAGATATATCAAATATATACATTTTTAATGTTATTTCTTTAAGTATTATAAATTTTTAAATATAAATTTATAATGCATTTACAGATTTAAATGCTGTAATTCATAATTTAAAAACTTTTAAAATAATGAAAAAATCTGATTTTAATATTTAATGTTATAATGTATATTTTCGTGACTTTTGAACTATATTAAACATTAAAGTTAATACTGTATTTCTATTTGTGTAGATAATTATTTTGAATTAATATGGTGTTTTTCCTTTACACAGTTTTATCTGTATAAAAATTTAATAAGTTGTATTAAATATTGTATATACTGTATATATGAAAATTTATGCGTAAAATAAAGACTTATTTGATGTTTTAATAATTTTTTTTTTGTCATGTGTCATATACGGTGAGTCAATATCAATATCATTGATTTATATAAGAATTGTTCGATATACCTGTGTGTGTGTATATATATATATATATATATTGCACAATAAAATTGCATCCTGCAAATATATGTATATATATGCAATATGTAATTTATTGTGTGATTTTCTTTAAGAGTGAGCACGTATTTTAAGTATGTTAAACACGAGCAGAAAGTACAGCATCTAATAATGATTAAATTCTTAATTTTTACACTGTCTTATTTACGTTTCACAGCTTAAGTAAGTAGAAGAAAAAGAAGAAATCTTCAGCAAGCTTGGTGTGTAAGAAAAAAAAAGGAAATCCATACAAAGCCTTACTCGATACGAAAGCTTGTTGCATCAAGGATCTGTACAAAGCCATCGTGTTTGACGTCGTCTACAGATGGTCTAAAATTCGGTACTCTTTTCAACTTTCCATCGAGAGATTGTTGGTTTCAAAAGAGAAAAGAAAGAATTGGCACAATGCCAAGCCACCATGTCGCCCTAAATCATGTAAAATGCTGGATGTACTTGTTAGTGACAACGTCTTTGTTAGAACGTTCTCCCTTACTTCGATCTCGATAGTGTCTTATCGATGATTCCAAACTTCTTACTCTCGTCTGTTCTGTAAGTCCCAATCAATACCATTACTCGGTTTCTTGAGGATGTCATTGCATCCATGTAATTAGATAGAATAGAAAGAAGTAAAAGTATTTTAGTCAATTTTGTGAGATCCTATATTGAAAATGCAATATTACTTAAGAGAATTGGATCTTCTTCTTCTTCTCCATAAAATATTTATATTTTTTATGTATAAATTGTAAATTGTAGATTGTGATGATACTTATACGTTCTAACGATTATTCCAGTCATTTAATTATAAAATTTAAAATGTTACAATGTACCGGATCCTGTTTGGTCTTCATGAAATTCTTTTATCTTCCATTTTTTATTTAGTTTACTTATATAGAGAGAAGAATATTCAGTTATTTATATCTGATATCTTATTTGTAATTAATATGGGATCTAAAGAATGGAGTCATTTCTGCTTTTTATGACACAGAATTAGTTATCGATCGGGAGTTATTGCAAATATAAGCCATATTATACTTATTTTATTAAAGAACTTAGAAGAAAACCTAACTTATTATTTTTTATTAATGAAAATATAATGCAAAAATCAAAGTTTTTAAAAAAATTAATAAACATTAATGTAAATTAATTAAATTAAACAGAAAAAAATTATTAAATTCTTACTTTGGAAGTGAAAATATAAGTGAAATCTCCGAACAACGACCACTGATAGGAACGTAAAAGTAGCCGTTGTTTGGAGGTTTGTTTTTAATTTTAAAGGTAAACGTACTTGAAAAAATGGTCGCCGTTTAGAGGTGACCGTTATTGGAGGTTGGACTATATTTTATTAGATAATTTTACTGAATTTATTGAGATGTTAGTCTATTAATAAGAGCAATGAAGGAAATTTATCGTTACATATTGAAAGACAATTCTATCGTTTGAAGATTGTTCAAACGGAATGAGCAATGACAGAAATTCTATATTTAAGCATTCTTAAGATATTCTTGTGGATGTATGGGCTCATATAAGGTAATCAAAGAGATCGTTGAGGTACTAATTCAATTATTAAGAATGATAACTGAATACCATAGAAAAACTTGTATTAATTCTTATATAAAAGCAAATAAACTTTATTTTATTTTAATAAAAATAAATTTAAAAAAATAAAATAAAAAAGAAGTAACTTGCAGACAGCTGATCGAATTTAGAAAAGACAAACGGTATATTACATGAATATGTATAAGATTAAAAAAAAAGTAATTTAATGTAGATTTTTTAAACAAACCAAGCACTCTTTTGTATTACAAATCATTATTATCTTTAAATTCACTTCCTCTTCAAAGAATTCAAAGAAAAATTTAAGTTAATTTAAGAAAAACTGAATATATTATTATCAATAACTTAAATAAAGATTTTAAAAATAAGTATAACATTTATATTTTTTAATTAGGCCTAATTTAATTAAAAAGTTGTAAAATTTTCAAGTACAGTATACATTATCTTATTTTAATTTTATGTCTCAATATTTTAAAAATTAAAAAACTATATACACATTTTTTAAGTCTTTCCATTAAAAAATAAAATATAAACAATTTTTAAATGCATTATACATATTATTATTAATTTAATTTAAATTTAAATATTTTTTTTTCGAATACAAAAACCAATTATGTTGGGAGTAAATGGGATAAAATATTATAGTTTAGGAATAATTGTATCGTTTAAAAAATTTGCCGGCTTTAAATTACATTGTTGGTTATAAAATGTGCATCTTAGAAATTATGTCCGTGTGCAGATTATTAGAAAATTGCGATATAAATAAAGGGAAGGCTGTATATTTACCAAGTTGACAGATGCAATGATGCAATGATGCCATCATGCGAGAA